GGGGAAGAAGAAGAGGGGGTACGAACATGTCGTTCAGAAATGCCACAGTTGTGTATTCGGGAGTAATCGGAAATCCGAAGATTAAAGAGAAAATCTTATCGGTTGTTTAGGTACATCGAGTAAATAACCACAAATTGAGACGAAATGTCATTTAATTTGTTTGAAAACTATTCTGTCAAATCATTACTGTGACAACTGCGCTCCGATTGGCCAACCCGAATTCGAAACAATTGACGGGCGTCGTCAATTGTTTCACTTCAAATTGACCAGTTTAACTTGAACTTTGCTGTAATGGATGAAAATTGCACAATTACATATTTAATATTTTATTACCGATGAACTGTGATTCCGTTTGTTTTGTAATTAGATATTTCCGTTTGTTTCTGTTTTTCCCACACCACCGAATGAAACAGCCCCGCCATAGTTAGAGATATTATCTTTATTACAATAAATACAGAATATTTTTGGAATATACGGAGACGTACACACAGGTCAATTGATGGCGCTGTACTATTTCAGTTTTCTGATATGTGATTTCAGCACAAACGAGAGTTGATATTTAAAAGAGTATAAGGCCTCATGAGTTGCCAGGGATGAATGGCCCTTATTTCGTCTCTATTTCTGGTTATATACTCGATGTTTAGGTACATCTCCTTTTTGCTGAATAATGGGGTTTGTTTATTATGTAAAGTTGAATGAAAATACAATGATTGATGTTGCAGTTGAGACGCGCCACTACAACATTAGACGAAGACGGGACATTTATACCGTATTATTTATTTGACGCACGCATTGGCAAAAATGCGTGGTTATTTAGTAGCAACAATATCATTCCAAGAGTGATAGAGCGTGATACGGTGGATATAGTGAGTGACCGTACTGCCGATTTCACGGGTATGAGTATGACCCATACTGAGCCACTGCAGGTGCTTAACTATGGAATAGCAGGTCACTATGTCATGCACTACGATACTGAGGTAACTATTAAATAATTTTTCATGGTATCAACGGCCACCGTACCTATTTCTGCCACCAAGCAGTAATGTCAGCATTACTGTCTTCCGGTTTTGAAGGATAAGGGCACTTCAAGGTTATTCAAAAACGAAAATAATGATCTTTCATCCCCCACAAAAAAGTATTTACAGTTTAATTTTAGCTACAATGGGGTCCAAATTGAATCAGTCAATGAATCAACACTATTAGGATTAGATATTGATAAACATGTTAATTGGAAGAAACACGTACAAAAAGTCACTACTAAGATATTACATACATAGTAGGTTTAAATACGCTCTACAAAAAATGAGAAAATCCACAGACCACTCTACTGTTTATTATGCGTTTGTATTTTCATGGTTGACTTAGGGAATAATACTGTGGGGCAATAGTACCGAAGCACCATCTCTATTTAACTGCCTCTGTGGCCGAACGGTTACCATGTCTGACTGCCACGCGCCGAACCCAGGTTCGATTCCCGGGCCGGGAGAAATATTTGTATGGCCTACAGTTATTTCTCTCGTGAGTTTGGGTGTAATTTGTGGTTGTCTATGTGTGTGTCCATGGTACCCGCGACACAGGGTTTCCCTAGTCCGTAGTATCCGGGGCTATGTTGAGTGTGTGCGTTATTTATTTATTTATTTGTGTTGCAAAAAAAACTAATTAGAATAATAGCAAACCTCAAAGAGACAGATAGTTGCCGACCTCACTTCCAGAAGAACAAGTTACATGTATTGTAAATGTATTGTAAAATTGTAAATTCGCAATAACCAGAATTTTTTTAAACGCCGTCAAGACATTCCATCAAAATTTTTATTACGTCACAAAAATATATTAATGAATCCAATGTCAAGATTAACTCTACATTCCTCTAGCCCACAAGTCATGGCGATAAAAATTTATAATCAACTACCTGATGCACTGAAAACGAAACTAATTATAGAATATTCTTAAAAAAATTAAAAGAATTATTAATAAATAAATGCTATTATGATATTAAAGAATTTTTGAATGGAACTCTTTAACAAAAAGTTTTTGCATTTGAAAACAGCTCTTACTCTCTTCCCTTCTATTTTGTTGTGCCCGAAAGGGTCCATGATGTTTGAACTTACTAATACATAACACCTTGCATACCATTGTGGAACGCAAATAAAGATATTGTATTGTATTGTATTGTATTGATATTACAGGCACATAGGACTTGTCAACTTATTCCTCAGGGTGACGAACGCAGTGGCAGTGCCCCTCAGATCTTTGTGATCTAAAGTTCTGAGTGGCACTGCAACTTTTATGGACTGACGTGTAGCTTACAATCAGGCGCACGGCTTGTTCGTCCCGTCGTTTGATATTATAACATAATAATCATAATATCTTGGATTAAACTTAGTACACACTCATAACCCCGCACTAGGAAAACATACATGCATGGACAACCACAAATTACATCCAAACTCACGAGAGAAATAAATGTAGGCCATATAAATATTTCTTTCGGGAATTGAACTTGGACGCACAAGCCATTTGAATAGTAAACCACATTGAAGTAACAAATGTTGATGCTAATAATTTAATTTTTGTGTTATGTATTTGTTTATTCGCTTTAAGACTAGGCCTTAGAAAGCCTAATTTATAATAACAATAATTTCAGAGTAATAAAGATCGAAAATATTTGGAGACAACTGGGGACAGAATAGCCACAGTACTGTTTTACGTGAGTTGTAAAGATTTTGTGGTGCTTTAAAATTTGTTTCATTGTCTTAAAAGTTGTTAATGTAATTGGCGCAGATGTCGGACGTGAGTCAAGGTGGTGCAACTGTGTTTCCTAGACTCCAATTGGCGGTGAAACCTAAAAAGGGTACCGCTATTTACTGGATGAATCTGTGCCCTTCTGGAGAGAGAGACGGAAGAATGTTACACGCCGCCTGTCCTGTGCTGTTTGGGGATAAGTGGGGTAGGTATGAATACCATTTCTACTGCTTCTAGCCCAAGCAACGTTTCGGGTTTGTACGAAAAGAAAATGTTTCTAGATAGTCTATGGTCATATTGAATACTTTTATACGGCTAAATTTAAATGCGAAATTTTCATTATACCTAACAGTACATCAAGCTACACATTGTCGTATCTTGTTCTGTTGCACTGGAGGCGATTTTCGAACAAAATGTGTAGTCAGATGTGCTGTTGTCCGCACATACGCTGGGCAGTTACGTTATCATGTGATAATATATTATTATAACGTAATATATATTTTGTACATTTTGATGTGCACGAGGTTTTAAAACATTATACTTAGGAAAGAAGAAAAATTGAAATGAAAAATATTAAAAAATAGAAGTAAGTTGTATGAAATGTAACTATTTTACAATTTATGTTTATAGAAAGATGTAATACTGAACTAGGACAATCTACATCCCCATTATATTCTTAATAGCTGGTCTTACTTCTTCTTCCACAGGTTATGCTATACAGAATGTTACTTTTTAAAACTGCGGCCATCGAGCTTGTTATGCACTCGATGACTGCGGCTTTGAACGCAGTCATAACGACGTATGGTACTATTTAGACTGATTGTATTTAATAAGTACGGTTTAAATTTTAAAATATCAAGTATCATAATTTCCTTTGCAGTGTCCAACAGTTGGATCCATGAAGCCGGTCAGGAGCTAAAAAAGCCGTGTGGCCTATTGCAAGACACCAGCGAACAACTCACGTGACAGGGTATCATGTCTCCGCTCGCTGTTGAGCGCATCTCTAGCTTAAGATCTCTATAGCTTCAGGACTATTCCTGTCATTACTATGACAACCGATAATATTCTAAATTCTAAGAAGTGCGCACGTATTAAACGATTTTTCAATCTCATATTTTGTGTTTCAACTTTAAAATAATCTCAACATGGTATATCATGGCAGAGCGTATAAATAAATAATAAACGGTCAATTATTAGTTTAATTAGGTTGCGACCCACCAAAAAAATAAATAAATGATTTATTGAATAAATTAAAATGAAAAATATATGAAATAAAAGATACAAGAAAATGGCCGCTACGGCAACCGTACTTCCGATACTAAACGAGAAATCAAATTTCAGTAACTGGAAATTTCGCCTGAAATTAATCCTAGAAGAAAAGCAAGTACGTTATGTATTGGAAGAGAAAAAAAGTGGAACTTTGACCAACTACGAAAGAGACGATGCGAGAGCTCGATCAGTAGGGTAGACCGGGTACGGTTGAAACAATTTCGCTTGTGTCGTCCGTAGTATTGTCATTTATGAGCCGAACGTTGATGAACTTATATTAAATACAAGAGCGTGTTTCTGACTATCAATGGACAGAGATAATTTAGCACCCGATGTGTTATTTTTACTACAAGATCTCGGGGTATTTCGGGGATTTGGTCTATCTGACGCCAGATATCAAATGCATCTCGCTTTTGTATAACTTAGGAGCGAACAGTGGTTCACTTCATGCTTCTCTGCCACATGCAACGAATCTCGTGCCTTTACTTCCTCGAAGGCATCTTTATACCTCGTTCCGTCGAATTGCGCCCTCGAAGTCTTTCGAAGGCATCTAGAAAACAAGAAAATTAAATTAATTTGTTGTTTCAACCGTACCCACAAAAAATGTTTCAACCGTCCCCAACCTCTCCTTTACAAAGCCGTTTCTGGTTTGGGTGGCAATAATGACACACTAAAACTAATCATACTACCCTATTCTACAAGCTTCATTTCAAACACATAAATAAACTCAATAGTCAGACTTCAATAATAATCATAATAACTGGAGAAATTTCCGAAGGAAAGTACTTACTTTTGATTTTCAAAACACAATAGGGCTTCCTGTAAACAACTGCAACGCGCGTTGAGCGATACAACAATGTGACTCGTGTTGGGACTTGTTCTCCGCTTCTTTCTCCCCTTGGACCCCTCACCTTATCTCATGTGGTTCGAAACATATTTGCTCTGTTTCAACCGTACCCAGTTTACCCTAATAGCTCAATGCTTATTGAACCAATGTATAGATATTGTAAAAGTGAGTGAAAGATCAAAGAAAATACTGGAAAACCTTGAGAGCATTTTCGAAAGGAAGAGCGTATACAATTTAGCTTTGAACATATAATTTTCCGTTTCCAGTTCCGAAGGGTAAGGATGCTGGTAAACTGACAGGCACATGGGACTTGTAAATTTTTTGTATCAAGCAGTAGTAGCGTTCTCAAATTATTGTGATTTAAAGCTTTAAGCGGCGCTGCAACTGTTATGGATAGGTGGGTCGATTTTTATGATAAGCCTGGTAGTAAGCGACACACCTGTCCAAAGCAGTTACAGTGGCATTCAGAGATTTAAATTTGCAAAGATCTGTGGGACCCTTTTGCGCCCGTCACCCTGAGTCGTAAGTTAACAAAGCCCTTGTGTTTGTCATTTCACCAGTACCCTCCAAAACCGGACGCAGTATCCTCGAATAGCGGCGGAAATAGGTGAGGTGGCAGTGGCAGTATTTCCATGGACATACTCTTTCACAAGGACCTCTACTGCTACTTTATGTAACAGGCCCACGACTTGTTCGTCCCGTCACGCGAAAAAACCCAGTTTTCAAAGTGATAAATCTTCATTGTACCTTTTTATCTATAGAATATACAGGGCTAGTTTTAAAATAGGCACCAACAACCTTGCAGGACTATATTACTAATATCATAAACAACAACTTTCACTCCATGCCTTTTAATAATTCATCATATTTTACTTTTATACAAAAATAAATAGATTTAAATAGATCGCTCTAAACGGTAATAACTCTGTGCAGGAAGGAGGCGGGAGTTATTTTGCTCGTATTTATATAATTTTTCGTACCATAAATCCTTATTCTAAATAATTTTTTTTTCCATAATTGACATAAAATTTAATACGCTAGAAAATATGTGTATAGTAATTGTAAAATGAGTTAATCGCAACTCAATACAATAGCATTTAATCTGTAAAGCTCTATTGACGATTTCCTGAAATTGGTCACGCAATTTTCCGATACAATTAAAAATTAACAATCAATATGTCGTAATGTTTTTATTTTCAATGCCATGAAGTAATTAATGGTAATACACCTACCATAATACCAAATAAGCACACGTGTGCCGTATATAGTAATATGATAAGATAAACATTTATTACACTACCCGCTTCCAATAGTGGGCACTAAACCTTGATATAATTTCATAAACCATATCCTCTTTTATATCTGAATCAAAATTCTATTGTCTATGGAACTCGCCACTGAGCCGAAAATTGCGTTAAAGTTCTGTATACAGAACTATGTATAATAAGGTTCAAAAAAACAACGTCGTATCTTTGCTGATTAAAATATCAATTAGACTATACCGCCTCCTCATTGGTTAAATTGGCCTAAAAGTTTTGCAACCGGGCCGTATATCTTTAAAAAAATATGTATATGATTGGATAGAAAGCTTCCATCCTCTAAGATTCTAATCTTAGAGGATGGAAAAAAATAAAGGGTAAGAATATATGCGTACTTGACCACTTCTATTCTATCTCTGGTTTTTTCGTTTGATTGATTGATTGTTTGATTGATTGCTTGATTGATTGATTGATGGTTTGATTGATTGATTGTTTGGTTGATTGATTGTTTGATTGATTGATTGATTGATTGTTTGATTGATTGATTGATTGATTGTTTGATTGATTGTTTGATTGGTTCATTGTTTGATTGATTGATTGTTTGATTGATTGATTGTTCGACTGATTGATTGTTTGATTGATCGATTGTTTGATTGATTGATCGTTTGATTGATTGATTGATTATATTGATTGATTGTTTGATTGATTGATTGTTTGATTGTTTGATTAATTGATTGTTTAATTAAATTTTTATTAAATTGATAATCAATTATTTTTTGTGAAATTACTATGTTATAATTATTAATACAAAGACCGAACACTCAAAAAAAACATTCAGAAAAAATTCCTTCGATCCGGTCGGATTCGAACCGACGTCTTCTTGCATACCGTGGCAGACGCTATACCAACTAAGCCACGGAACCAACCAACGGACCTCACGAATTTTTCTATGTGCTTGCGTCGTGTCTTTGTACTTGGTCTTTCAACTTTGGTCTTTGATTGATTGTTTGATTGATTAATTGATTGTTTGATTGTTTGATTGATTAATTGATTGTTTGATTGTTTGATTGTTTGATTGTTTGATTGTTTGATTGTTTGATTGTTTGATTGTTTGATTGTT